GACGCACTCTACAGAGGACAACAGCCACAACACCATCATTCAGCTTGAGAAAAGTTGAACTTAGATGTATGTTTTGTTATGTTGTTAACAGTAATCACTCACAAAAGGCTTTCCTTAGACAGTCGCTTAGGTACCTTTTCGGGGGACATTTCTGATTACAGTTTTTCTCAGTCGCTTTGGAGTTACCTCACTAAATACAGTAATGTGTAACTTTACTGTATTTTTCAAATGGCTGTGCAAATAGTATATAGTGCTGTCTTGAGCATTTTCAGGTAGTGTCACCAAGATCTGACTTTTTTGCATTGGAAAACATTGACAGAGTAAACTGTCATAATGAAAACATGACAAAGCCATTTGACTATCTTGTTCATAAACAATGGTGTCAGGACTTTTCATCTTGATGACACTGACACTTTCATTGACATGAATACTTGCTTTTGAGGAATGACCTATCCATTTTGAGCAAGTGACACGCTTTTGCAGGTTATCAACTAGGTTTTGCAGTTTGTACTAATTGTTTTGAGAACTGCATTAACTGTTGTGCCAATGTAAATAGTGATGTGAGAAATGCACCAAAGCGACTGAGAAAAACTGTAAACGAGGGCCACTATTATGGACCATATTTTCAATCATGGCCCTACAATGGCCAAGGTGGGTCAAAAGGTACAGCTGAATGTTGGGAGAACAACTGTTTCCTCAGTCATTCAAATGTTTCATAGACAGAACAGGTATTTTGACAAGGTGCACTGTACTTTAATACTGTATAATTACTGTAATGCTTCATATCTTGTTTGTGAACAATTACACAAGACTTGTCATTCTGATGGCACTGAAATGTTTAATCACATAAATACTTACTTTTGAGAGATGGATTTTGAGAAAATGACAGGTTTTTGCAGGTAATCCAACACTGTGTAGTGCTGTTTGTACAAATTGTTTTGAAAAATGCACTTATTGGTTTGTAAATGTTACCCAGCGGGCATCTTGACATCAGTTTCACCTTAAATATTAGTCAAGACTTGATCAAAATGGTGTAACATCATTTTAAATTCAGTTTGAATGGCCATTTCTTCCAGTGTGAAAATAGGAAGTTAATTCCACATAGAAATTGGTTTAATGTATATGTAGGCCAATATTTTTGATGTTCAATTTACATCGAATCAACGTCATGTCAAGTTTTTGATGTCAGTTTGATTTGCATATTGATCTGTTTTTTTACGTTAATTTTGATGTCAATTTGACATCTTTTCAACATCAATTGCCCACTGGGTAAATATGATTCTAGAAATGTAATAAACCAACTGAAAAAAACTGTAATAAAGAAAAATCGTTCAGAATATTCAAACAGTCAAATCAAGTATACACCTTTTAAAAGCATTAGAAGCTATTTGTTTGAAAAATTGCCAGTAACAATATTATTGTTACTATAAAAGTTGCTCATTCACACTCGTTCACAAAATTTTGGCCTTTGGAATTTATTTACCAAAAATGTCATGTTTATCTGCATCCTGCATTTTGTGCATAACCTGTTTACCACATGATTGTCCTCCATTATATTAAACCGAACATTGCATAAAAATTGTGACACCCAAAAAGAAATGATTCATATGTGGTTCCAAATTTAGGATAATTTTTTAACCATCTCGGGAACCATTCTATCCATTCTGGGGAAGTTTTTATATTTGATTTGCTTTAATCTTTTTTAATTTTTGATGTTTATTTATTTGTTTATTTTATTTAGGTATAATGCCCCCCATAATGCCCCCCCCCCATCTAAGCAATTCCAAAATCACACAAATCAGAAGTTTGTACTGAATTCAAACATGTCCCAGATTTTATTGATAAAATGTTTCAGACCTAATCCATTACATGAATAAAAAAATGACTGTTATATAAAAATGTTTAACCTGACCACTTGAGGTTGACAATCAACGTTTATTGTTCAAAAGTTACTATCACAGACCATTTGTTGAAAAAAAAACCCAAAACGAATATATTTATTTTTCAGGCAATTTTTCAGGTTTCTCGCAACTCTTATTTTGTACCTTATTTAAGTACTTTCAAATGATCTAACTTGGCTGCCACAAATATAAAAGCATGATTCTCTAAAGGTAAGTTATACATCATTCATCTAATACACACATATCACAGGGCATGATGAGTGAATCAAACGGAATGACCGTAACAAAACTGAGATGACAGCTGGCTGTCTTGGTTATTATCTCTGTGAACAAACTTCCTGTAGATTACAGCTACTACAGCCATGATAACCACACCGCACTCTGACTAGCCACACGTTTGAGCAGGTTTTCTCGCTTTCTCTCATCTTCAGGTCTTTCACAAACATACACGAACACTATTCATACTGGAAATCAAGTAAGATTCTTAGTAATTTTACAGTAACACTGGAAACACCTGTTAAATGTTGCCATGTGCAATAAAAAAATTTATTTCATGTGGAATACATTTTTCAGCATGATGTCATCGGAGAACATTGTTAAGTTCCACATAGAACTTTTTATTTCCTAGTTCTTCAGAAAAAAGCTCTATATACTGGTCAACTACATCATTTTATTTGTGTAAATGAGCTGTCTGACTTAACACAAGGTACTGTATGGTGTGCAACAAGGCTCAGTCTTTGGCCTTTTGTTGTTCTGTATGTACATGCTCCCTTTTGGTGTTATTATTAGACAGCATGTCATTACTTTTCATAGCTAACACACAGCTTTTCTCCAGATAAAATTAAATTTGTTACGTTTTTTTTTTTTAATTGGTGGATTACATTAAGGAGATTTAACACAAAATATTAAGTAATTTCCAGGATCAAAACAGTTCACTTATAAACTTTGTCTGTAAGACCTTTTTTTTAGACCAAGAGTTTCCACTTGAGAAGTTATGGTTAGTTATGGAACATTCTCTTCTTATTATGATGCTGATAAAGTAGAGAATGTATTCATAACTGATCCTGATTATTACATTGTAATGCCGAGTACATTCCAATCATCTTTCCACTGTTTACTTGTCCAGTTCCATAGCATTTTTCTTACATATATATCATGCTATGGTCTAGTCCATCTATATCTAAGAGGACACTTAAGTAACTTCTTCTGTTTCTCTAACCACACCTTCAAGAGACCAGTTTTGAGGTTCACTGGCTCTGGCCTTGCCCTGTTTTCAACTCCACAGCTCCTTTTCATCGGCATTTATCTCACTCAGTTTCAGATCTTAACCAGTGTCTGTCACCAAAAGAGGATGTTTCTCATTATCAATCCTGCATGTTTTATTAATTTGTTGAAACATGTCAGGTGAGGTGGGATTCCCCAACTGGATGTTGGTTTCTCCCAGAGCTGCTTGCTTATCATATCTCATTGTATCTTATTTTATCCTGGGGAGTTTTTCTTTTTTTATCATCTTCCGCTTGCTGGGAACTAGTAAGGCACTATTCTTTTTTGAAATTATTTTTATTGTGCCATGTGCTAACATATACTGTATGTAAAAAGAATTTAATTAAAATGTTTAAAAGAACCAGTTAACCAATATACACTTTCTCCAAATAACCAGATATAGACAAATAGGAAACAGAGATAAAAGAGGGGTTTTTGGAGCAAAGATGCTGAAAATAACAACTGAAAGGCCATTATATTAAGTGCCACAGTACTCAATGACAATCTTCAGAGCATGAAGAATTTCTGATAGTCATAGCTAAAAACTAAAGGATCACTGCTCAACTGTAGTGATCCGATATGCAGTTTGCAAGTGCTGAACACGCCAAGGAGAGCAGTACTTGATGCTCTACCTCCATCATCTGGCAATTAAGAGTATCTTGTACAGTATATGTCTACATCTGCTGGTGCTGAAGCTTTGTGTCTACCCCGCTGAAATTAGACTAATTTGGACCAGCTTGAATTCCAAGATGGTCTTAATTGGTTTTAGATGAGCAATGCTATCCTGTTACTGGCACAAGCTGGTTAAGATACTCTCTCATGTATACCAGAGCAGTGTAACCATTCTGAACTGACATGAAAGTGACCAATAATCTAACAACAACAATAACAATAGTAGTAGTAGTAGTGTTGCTAAAAACAGCATCAGTTTTTTTTATTTTTTATTATTTATTCGGGTAGATTCATAATGCATAAAGTTGCACTAATGGGTGATTCTCAGAACAATACGTTCCGGTCATATACTATATTGAAAAAAAATATTATTATTGAATTTGGGTTGGTGTATAAAATCAAGTACCTAGCCATGCAGTCTGCATTTAAGAACATTTGTGAGAAAACGGGTGTTTCTTTTTTGAGTTCCTTTTGATCACTCTAATGACAAAAGCAGAAGTAGAATTTTAAAAAATAATTAATTTTCTTTGATGCACCAATGCATTTACAAGCTCCTAAAACATTTCTGTCAATGTGATAAATTATACAGTCTTTCAGGGAAATGAGATGCAGATTATGGGTTTTAGCTGAACATAAATACAGTTAATTCAAATTCAGTAGATTTTAAAGATTAATCCTCCTGTTCTGTTTGGGGTCTGAAAGAAAATGTATAATTATGTTTTAGAAAAAGAATCAACTTGATGTCTAAGTGTTTTCACACATACACATTATTGTGGGAATAGTTTGGGGAAGATGCTTTTCTATTCCAGCATAACTGTTTACAAAGCAAGGTCCATAAAGACATTGTTACTTTTGAGTTTGTAAAATTTATTATTTTAATATTGTATAAATCTGAATTGAATTTTACTACTACTACTACATTATTTCCCATTACAGTGATAAATATTGTTCAGGACAAACCGCTTAATTAAAAAAGAAAAAGAAAAAAAAAGTTTTAATGTCAGAAATCTCAAAGGTCCTACATTAGACTTAATCCTTTTGCATTTTTATCCATGAAAATATATGTATATGGGGTGTACTATCACCCGGACACGTTTATAAGATTCGCCCGAATATCCTTTATGGAAACAGCGGCATAACAGCTGCTGTCTGACGAATCCGGAGCACTTTCATCAGCAGTCTCCAGTGTCGGCATTGGTCCTCCTTCATCCCGAGGCCAAGCGAGCAGCAGCAGAGGCACAAACATGTCTGTCTAGAGCTCCAGCAGCATATGTATCGTCCTGTTATGTCGGGTTTAGGATGATATGGGCTCGGCGGAAGATGTGACAGTTGTCCGCGGGCGTCATGATGATATTAACGGCGTCGGGGCTCTTCCTGGCCTTCTGCTCCATCGGGCTCTTGACCATGGCCATCAGCACGGACTACTGGTACGAAACAGATGCGCGGAAACACCGGGACCGATGCAAAAAATACGCCAGCAAGAGAAATGACCCAGGATACATATACATCTCCAACCAGAATCTCCCACTCCGGATGCGACCTAAAGCGAGTCCTCTGCGGGAATCCCCGCACCCCGAGCCCGTCATGGAATCACGCTGCAGCCGCCGCTACAACTCGACCACAACCGGACTGTGGAGGAAATGCCACCGAGAAGGGTTCGATCTGGAGAACGAGGACCTGATTTTTAAAGGTGATGATGATGCTAAATGGGCCACATGTGAGCAGTACCCAGATCTCAAGCTGATGTTGCACAGCTATAGCGTGTTTTTTTTGTTTATTGAACGTTTGAAGGAGTGCGGAAGAATGCTTGGCGCTATCCAAGGTGCTGATCTCTAACATCAACACCAACCACACGCTCACGTTCACACTTTCATCACATTTCAGCTCAAATACAGAAACAGATGGAGACTGTCAGGGCAATGGGATCCATTTGAGGTCTAAAGAGACCACGAGGCCCTTTTATTAAGGGAAAACACACTTAACCCTCTCTGGTACAGTATATTGTTTAATCTTTTTTGAGTTCCTTTTGATCACTCTAATGACAAAAGCAGAAGTAGACTTTAAAAATGGTCCGGAAATATGAATTTTCTTTGATGCACCGATGCATTTACAAGCTTCTAAAACATTTCTGTCCTTAATGTGATAAATTACACAGTCTTTCAGGGCAATGAGATGCAGATTTTGGGTCTTACCTGATGATAAATAGAGTTAATTAAAATTCAGTAGATTTTAAAGATTAATCCGCCTGTTCTTTTTGGTGTCTGAGAGAAAATGTATAATTATGTTTTAGAAAAATAATCAACTTGATGTCTAAGCATTTTCCACACATTACCCATGTATAAAACATAAATCCAATCAAATTTCTGGCTGATGTAGTAGTACTCTCCTGTCAGTGTGTATATCGCAAAATTATATATAAATTGTAAAAATGATATATTTCTTCAGTGTGTTCCTGCTGGGATCAAACTGTAACCAAATGGGCATATTTTCCCAACTTTTTTACAATAAAGGTTCCAAAAGGTGGCCTTTGCAGAGATGGGTTCCCCAAAGAACCCTTCTGTGAACAGCGAACATTATTTTTCTTATTGTGGAGAACATTTTAATAATTTAAAGAACCTTTTTCCACTATAAAGAAACTTTGTGCAATAGAAGGTCTCCATGGATGTTAAAGGTTCTTCATGGACCTATAGATGCCACTAAAGAACCAAAAATTGAAATAATGAGAACTGAATGTATTATTCAGTTATAAATATTTTTACATGTACACCACTGGGACCCCAAACAGGAAGTGAAGTCAATCTCAGCAGGACATGCGAATTGATTGACTTGCTTGATTTTATTTATGGTCCAGTTAGAACATTTAATGATCATAATTGAAATTAAGGCATTGGGACCAACGTTAAGGGCCTGAATATGTGTTTAGATGTTTTTGTGAAATGTGTCTAAATTGCTTGTAGCCTTTCAAACACACATGTATCATCTGATCTTCACTATTATGGCTGAAGTTATCAGATTGTTTCTGTGAATTTCCGCAGGTTTGCTTCAGCGTTGCACGCCGGTGAAGTATTACTATTCCTCAGTGAATATCCCACGGAATCTGCCAGTTAACATCACCAAGACAATAAGACAAGACGAATGGCATGCTCTCCGTAAGTCAGATCATGTCACAAAATAAATAAATGCAACTGCAATCTGTTACAGTGACTGAGAATAAAATGTGTAATTAAATTACAGTTACTTATGCTAACGATTACATCTGAATATTTTCACACAGATACGATTGATTTCTTTCCCAAATTGCATTGACTGCTCTAAAGTATGAGACACCAATGTTTCAGGAGTTTAGGACACATGCTTGTTCAATAACTGTTTTATTTCCTATTTGGGTTTGTGTATATCCTTTATTTTTTACAGCTTTTACAGTTTTTTTCCAAAGCATTGTTAGATGCAGTGTTTTTTGCAAAGATTTGATTTCCAAAACAGTATCATAGCTATTAAACTATTACGATTACTAGATTATATAATGACATATCAATGTCTAATTTGTAGAGCAATGGGGAAAAGTTAAATGAAAACACATGCATTCATCGAATATTTACCACAACGGGCAATACCTGAATTGTAGTAAATTTAAAATAACAAATATGACGAGGTATTTAAGAAATAATGGATAAATACACTGTAAAAAATAAGTGTAATTTTAACTGTAAAATTTTGCAAAAACGCTACTGAAAAAAAAAAGCTGTTAATAGATTAAAAGTAAGTTCCCGTACTATATACAGGGACAAACTGTAAAAGATCTAACCAGACATTTAATGTAATTTTACAGTAAAATGCTGTTAATTGTACAGTTTTTAGAAGTAAAAAATAATAAATCAATGTATAATTTACAGTCAAAAACTGTAAACTGATATTCCCAGAATTCCCTGCGTGACACTCCACATTTGAAAGTATTTTGTTTAAATAAGCATGTTTTTTAATAGTTTTTGTTATCAGTTATGTACATTTTCACTTGCATTATTATGGTGGTTTTCAGTATGTTAAAGGTACAAAACAGATTTTAATAGTAGGGTGCGTTGTTGAATTTACTGGTTTACATTCAAATTTTCTTGTTTTGTAAATTACAGTTTTATACTGTAAAATTTACAGTTTTGCCGTGAATGTGTTTACAGCTTTTCTGTATTTTTTTTACAAAATTATTCTGCCAACCACAGCTGCCAAAATTATTTTGTAAAAACTACAGAATTTTTTTTTTACAGTGTACCACAATGAATACACTAAACTAGTTATTGCAGAGGGAGGTGTATTGTGTGCTAGACATTATTACACAATATTTCAGTTTTTGAATGTCCGAATCTTTTTGCATTGTAACACAAACTAGATTAAAACGTTGTTGTTGGTTTTAGAAAGCCCGGCCAGAAAGTTTAAATTAGTTTTAAAAGCTTGACGATGTTAAGTAGCTGTAAGTGAAGGTTTTAAATCCGTGAATTCAAGTCAAAAGTCACATTCATGTGTATGTAGCGCTTTATTCAATACAGATGGTTTCAAAGCAGCATCACAGTAATAAACAGACAAATGTTCAACATTAAGACAACAAGTGTTTGGAAACATTGACTGGTTGTTAGATGTTAGTGCAACATGTTTATAGTTAATGATCTGACAGATAAAATACCCCAAAGACAAGGTATTAGATAAGATATGCATCTCTTTATTTGTTGTGCTGACATTATGTCTGTTGTGTTGAATGTATTCCTTGTGAAAAATAATATTTGGGGTTAAACTTTATTTTAAGGTGTTCTTGTTACACACGTTGCATGTACTTAACTAATGCACTTACACCAGATTAATTGTTACGTACAATGTACCTATTATGTTCATACTGTAGTTCAAAACACGTTTGCTGCTATAGAGTTGGGATACGGTTAGGGTTAGCGATGTGTTTGGTGGTGTGGTTTGGTGTAAGTGTATTTTTTTTAAATATTGGTACAATGTAAAAACATGTATGTGCATTATTAAGTGTCTATTGTTGTATAGTATGCATCTATTGATTAATTTCAATGTTACATAGTAAAGTGAAATATTTTTTAAAACAGTACTTATTGCGGAAATAATACACTTTAAAAGAATACACAGTTACACTTTATTTTAAGGTGTCATTGTTACAGTGTAATTATACATTTAAGTACATAATACTTAATTACATGTTCTTACTATATGGTTAGGGTTACTTCCATGTAATTACGCATAATTAATAGTAATTATAATAGTAAGTACATGTAACGTGTAACAGGGACACCTTAAAATAAAGTGTTACTGAATACGCTTATAGGTGTGACTATACAGAATGTTTATTGAAAACGTATTAAATTAAATATATATGACATGCAGTTAGTTGAACTTAACAGTGTTTTCTTGAGTCACTTAAGTATGTTTAAGTGCTTCTTTGCATATCATTTCATAATTACTTCTGTTGTCTTTGAAATAAGGCTAAAAGTGTACTACCAAATGTGAAAAATACACTCTAAAAAATTCTAGGTTAAATATAACCCAGCCCTGGGTTAAAAAGGGACAAACCCAGCTATTGGGTTGTTTTGACCCAGTGGTTGGGTTCAAAACAACCCAACCGCTGGGTCAAAACAGCCCAACCGCTGGGTCAAAACAGCCCAACCGCTGGGTCAAAACAGCCCAACCGCTGGGTCAAAACAGCCCAACCGCTGGGTCAAAACAGCCCAACCGCTGGGTCAAAACAGCCCAACCGCTGGGTCAAAACAACCCAATAGCTGGGTTTGTCCCTTTTTAACCCAGCGCTGGGTTATATTTAACCCAGCATTTTTTAGAGTGTATACTATACTTTAATAGCATTTCTATTGAAAAAGTATGGTATGCATTTAAATATATTTGAAGAGTTTGTTTGCAAAAACAGATGACTCGGATAACTTTTTTAAAATTGTTATCATGTTTTTATTGTGTTTTATAGTGTTAGTTAGCTATATTTTTGATTTTTGAAAATGGTTAAAAATGTAGTATTCTGTTTTTGCAAATGAACATTTGTAGTTACACATTTGTGATGAAGACGATACAATTTAGTAGACAAACTAGTGCTAAATGTAATGTTACATGCTTTACATGTCATTTATACTAAACAAGTGTACTTTTTTAAAGCACAAAAAGATTATTACAGCAATGATTCAAAATGTACTTTAAGTGCAAAGTGCACTTTTTAAAAGTCTACTTAAGTGTGTTAAGAAACACAGACTGATATTTCACTAATATTATCCGCAAGTCCCATTTTTTAATAATATACTTGTAAGATTTGAAGTACACTACAAGTGCACATTCAGTACAATTAAGCGCGCACAAGGGATCCTTCAGCGCTCTGTTTTCTCCTGCAGATTTGCAGCGGATGACGGCAGGTTTCATCGGTATGGCTGTGGCCATCATTCTGTTTGGCTGGATCATTGGTGTGCTGGGCTGCTGGAAACACAATGAGCTGATGCAGTATGTAGCTGGACTGCTCTTCCTGATGGGAGGTGAGACGCACTGCAAACGACCACTAGATGGAAGCTTATTACTGAGACAAGAAAAAAACAACAACATATTGCTTTGAAAAAGCTTTGCTGTGCACAGTATGCAGTGTTTCTGTATCTATATCCACAATGCTTATCTCGACTTTCTGTTTCCTTCTTCTAGAATCTTTTCTTTGAGTTCTTATTGTGTTGTTATGAACTCACTGTGTTGTTTTGTTTGCGATCGCACTTCGCAGGCACCTGCTGCATCATTTCCTTGTGCACATGTGTGGCTGGCATTAACTTCGAGCTCTCGCGGTATCCGCGCTACCTGTACGGCCTGCCGGAGGACATCAGTCACGGGTACGGCTGGTCCATGTTCAGCGCGTGGGGCGGTCTGGGTCTGACGCTGCTGGCTGGGTTTCTGTGCACTCTGGCGCCCTCTCTGCACAGTCCCCAGATCAGCAGCGGCACACACAAACCGCGACAGGAGAACGGCATGGTGTGACGCTCGCACACTCCACACACCATACGCATAGATCCAAGGTCCTTACAAGCCAGAGAGAAATGTCAAATAAACAGTAACACACACTACAGACACTGTACAGATAGACCTACTCTGCTATAATACGATGGTGAGAATAAATCATGATCTAGAGTGCAGCTGAGCTAAACATGCTGGAGCTGAGAGAAAACATGTGCTGCAAAACATTGTCAATCAGCATGATTGTCTTATTTTCCAGAAAAACAAAGAACTATATATTATATCCCTTGTGAAAAAGAAGTGCACTTGATTGTATTCAAATCGTCAAGGTATATCTTTAAAACAAGTGTACTTGCAGATAATGACATTCATTAAAAAAAAAGACCACTTAAGTGTGTTAAACTAAAAAGTGCACTTTCTAGTAATGTCACTTTAAAGGCTTTACTTTAAAGTTAATTTGAAATAGTTTTAATAGTCTTTTGTCATGATTTAAAGAAGCACACTTATTTTTGTTGTGTTGACTAACATAAAACACACGTAAAGTACTTTTGATAATACACTGAAAATGAAGAGATTTTAAATTGACTAAATTGCAACTTGTGTAATAACAAATATATTTCAATACATGCCGTACAAGTTTCAACAGAAATGACATTAGAGTATATTTTAGTTTATCATAAATGCTTGTCAGTACATTCGGCAGTACACTTTAACCAAAGAGAATAAATAATATAAAGTAATTATGAACTTACATATAAATATATACTTGAGACCTATAAGTGGGTCAGACGTACGTTACTGAATATAGATTTAAAGTATAATGCATTTTCTTTGAATTATGATCATCATGCAAATAAGTGTTCGAAGACATTGCATTCTGTTTGCATTCGAGTATATTCTATATTATTTCCATAAAAAGTACTCTTTTTAAAAGTGTGCTAAACTGTACTTTCTTTTCACAAAGAATAGCTCCTCCCTATGTGACAACTAGCCCCGGTGTCCCCTATTCTCAAAAATGTACACTAAATATATAGTGAACTCATATTGGTTTAAGGATATTTCGATATTTTTACTAGAAAACAAAACAAAGATGCTGATTAGACAAAACAGACAGACAGACAGACAGACAGACAGGCATCTTCTCTGGTTCTTAGCTGATATTTTACTGAAGATTTGCGTCTCTTATGGTGCTCTCTTTCTGTCTTTATCTTTGCCCGTCATTATGTTCATATCTTTTTCTGTCTTAACGATTGACCGTTTTTTTGTTTTTCCCGTCTGTTTCTCTCCTCCTTTCTCCCGTTTATGTCTCTCAATGGATTTAATATGGAAATGTCTCAGAGAATGACAGATGAATCTTTTCGTTCAATAAACTGTTCAGTGTTTTGGTTTTGCCTGCTTCGTAGAAACGAGAAAAAACAGATCAAGGCACAACTAAATAAATATCATTGTCTTCAGTGTCTTCCTATATATGTTTTCTTTCTTTTTTTAGTTTTTACAATAAAACTGAAAATGTCAAACAGCACAAGCAAAGTAAATCTGAAGGCGATATGTGAAAATGAACAATGTTGGTGCACAACCTCATTATCAAGGAGACTTCTGAATAACAGTGTTATGAGAAATTAGACAGGACATGGTTTGTTTTGAAATTACAATATGATTTATGAACTTTTTTTTCTAATAAAATGATCCTGATTCATCATTTGTGATTCAATTTTTTGTTTCTGAATTTCTGAAACACTGTTCAGTCATATTGGCAGTGAGGTTTGAGTGTTATGCTGATGGGTATTTTTATTCCTGCAGCTTTTTGGCTGGGCTCATAAAACACCAAAAACAATTTAATGAGACCACAAATGGAATCTTAGTTATTTCTGTCTGTGGTTGTAAGTTTCTACAGCCTTTAGACCTTTAAGGATTGTTTGTACTGAAATTTCATACTCCCATTAAATGTTCCTAAACCAGGTAAAAATTTTCAAGAGAACCAGACATAAATATTCGGAAAAGAGCTGGACACACACACACACACACACACACACACACACACACACACACACACACACACACACACACACACACACATTTCTGCTGCTGCAAATCAAATACAGGAACTTGCTACTGCCAATACATACGCCGATAAGCTGAAATGCTGTGAGTATTTCAGACATACTGCTGCTACACAAGTAGCATATATAATAACCTATAGCAGATCTACACAGGTGGAGCTGGGGAGGTGGAGGATTTCAGAGGAACTCTGAAAGCGTGCTGCGAAATGCTCTAGTAAATGCTAACCAGCCAAGTAAATGTAAAGCAGCAAGCTCATTGGCTGCATATGCAACATTAATCAATCAGCTTGTGCCAAGTAGTTTATCGCTGTGAATATCTTCAGTGTGTGTTAAAGGGACAGTTCATGCAAATATGAAAATTACCCTATGATTTACTCACCCTCAAGGCATCCTAGGTGTATATGACTTTCTTCTTTCAGACGAATTCAATCTGAGTTATATTTAAAAAAAATAAAAATATCCTAGCTCTTCCAAGCTTTATAATGGCAGTGAATGGCTGTTGATATACACTAGTCCAATAGAAGTCCTATAAAGTGCATAAATCTATCATAAAATGTGCTCCACATGGCTCCGGGAAGTTAATAAAGGCCTTCTGAAGTAAATTGATTATTCGATGATATTTTCTGCATATGTCAATAAATGATTTAAAGAAGATTTTATGATCACTGTCAGTTTCTGCACATATAAAACGATCATCAGGAAGAGCTGAAATCTGTAAAGACTGAGTTTATTAAAGAGGACAGAGAGAAGATGAGAGATCCAGAGCCCTGCAGAATCAAACACACTGAAGATACTGAAGAACAAACAGGTTGGTGTTTATTCTTCATTAATGAAGCTGTCGGATAAGTTTGTTTTACACTTTGAGTAAATTACTTTAAGTTTAATTTCAATGTTAGAAAGTGTTCAAATGCTAATACTTTTGTTTTAATATAAACAATTGTGTATTTGTGTAGAACTGTTAAATAAAGTCATTTTCAGAATTTAATTTTCTCATGACTTATTTATTAACATGATTTGGGCAAGATTAGGCTGGGTATGGCTCAGTTTTGGGGTTTCTGGTTAAAGGCTGGTGTTGATGTTGTTTGCTTATGGCTGAGAATTTGTACCAATACAAAAACCTGTTCTAGCACACTTCAGGGCCATTTATAAGTTATTAACTGCTGAGACTTGGCCCAGTTATGGTCCATGTGTGGCCACTGTCTTTAATTCAGATTAGGGCCACTCTAGGGCCGTTTTATTATTATTATTATTATTATTATTATTATTTATCTATTATTATTATTTTTTTATTAGGCTACATCTTATAATTGTCACTTTTTTATTGATCTTATTTTCTATATTTACATGCTGCAACGTTGTGTGATTTTCAATGAAATATTTGACTTAATTTGCTTTTTCTCCTCTAATCCTCACTCACGAAGACTGTTGATGCTGATCAAATACCATGTGAGGCTATAATTTTAATTCCTTTTCGTGTATTTGTGCAGATCGGCTTTTTGTAAAGGAAAAAAAATCAGCGCACCTTATAGACGCAGTAATAAGTACATTACCCCGTATTATTTCCCTCCTCTCGACGCATCGCGCTCCAGTCCAGCGGGTGGCGCTAAGACACGTACGTTTGTTTGCCAAAACACCATTAAACCTCAGAGGAAGATTGGTTTGACCGCGCTCTCTGTTGTCGTTATGCTGTTTTAATACAAACGGTTAGAAATGTTGTTTCTGTAAGTAGAAAAATACCGTTTTTGAATCAGATCAGTAAATAACTGTAATATTCTCATCCTCATAGTCGTGACTAAGTTTTGAAGCAAGCAGGAATATCTGGAGGAGTATTATCTGAACTGAGATCTGCTGCTGTGAAGATGGTGTTTGTTAAAGAGGAGAGTGAGGAGAACACGAGTGAACCAGAAACCTGGAGAATAAAACACGAGGAACCAGAACCCTGCAGAATAAAACACGAGGAACCAGAACCCTGCAGAATAAAACACGAGGAACCAGAACCCTGCAGAATAAAACACGAGGAACCAGAACCCTGCAGAATAAAACACGAGGAACCAGAACCCTGCAGAATAAAACACGAGGAACCAGAACCCTGCAGAATAAAACACGAGGAACCAGAACCCTGCAGAATAAAACACGAGGAACCAGAACCCTGCAGAATAAAACACGAGGAACCAGAACCCTGCAGAATAAAACACGAGGAACCAGAACCCTGCAGAATAAAACACGAGGAACCAGAACCCTGCAGAATAAAACACGAGGAACCAGAACCCTGCAGAATAAAACACGAGGAACCAGAACCCTGCAGAATAAAACACGAGGAACCAGAACCCTGCAGAATAAAACACGAGGAACAAGGAGGTTGGTCTTTATTCTTCGATCGTCTTTAATGACTGTTTGTGGTACATTAGGCTTACAAAGCGTTAACCCTCTAGGGTCTGAGGATGTTTTGGGGCCCTGGAGAAATGTTGACATGCCCTGACATTTGTGTTTTTTTCAGCCGATCTACACGAGGAACCAGAAACCCGGAGAATAAAACACGAGGAACCAGAACCCTGCAGAATAAAACACGAGGAACAAGGAGGTTGGTCTTTATTCTTCGATCGTCTTTAATGACTGTTTGTGGTACATTAGGCTTACAAAGCGTTAACCCTCTAGGGTCTGAGGATGTTTTGGGGCCCTGGAGAAATGTTGACATGCCCTGACATTTGTGTTTTTTTCAGTGTCTTAAAAACATATTAATGGCTTAAGTCACTGTAATCAGCACAAACTGTGTTACAATAATACATGAACAGCGTGAATGTAGCCTACATGTTACGTTTATACATGGTTAGTGAAAAACTAACATTTTTAAAGGGGTCATATGATGCTATTTTAAATATCATTATTTTGTGTATTTGGTGTAACAGAATATGTTGAAATGCTTTAATGTTCAAAAAACACATTATTTTTCAAATACTGTACATTATTGTAGGTCCTCTATGCCCCGCCTCTCTCAAACACGTCGTTTTCAACAAAGCCCCCTCCTTTGACAAGCGCAGTCTGCTCTGATTGGCCAGCTGACCCAGTACATTGTGATTGGCCGAACACCGCAAGCACTCGTCGGAAATGTAACGCCCCTTACCATAATCGCAGCTTCAGCTTTCAAAGTAAATATCAAGACAGTTAATAATGTCGTTAGTTTTACCATCAGTTCAAGCCCGAAAGGGCAACA